CGCAGGTCTTGCTTTTTTGTCCAGGGGCGCGAGTAGAGGCCGAGGTAGAGGCAGTCTTCTGAACCGTTTACGGTGCGCTGGGGGCACATGTCGAAGGCTTGGTCGGTGTCGTATGTGCCATTGGTGATGTGGAGCGGTGGTTGGGGTGCGCGGAATCGGTTTTCGCCTGCTGTTGATGCTGCGAAGGGGATTTTGCGGTAGTATGTGAGGTTGTATTGGGAGGATGATGCGCCGCGGAAGGTACCATAGTCGAGATGGACGATGGGGTTAGATGCATTTTGATGGGGATGCTGGGCTGGTGATGCAGAAACGGTACCGCTCGCCACGAAGGCGAGGATAACAGAAGCGACGGACAGTAACATCGCAACCAATGTCTACTAACGAAACTCATGATTATAGAAGTGCGGTTGCATGTACATATATAGAATTGGAGATACCAGCCTAATGCCATATTAGCCCCTTCTCCGCAAATTACAGCAACTCATCCCCGGCGCCCGGATTGCGGGGACGGCTAAAACTAGGATAGCATGAGATGAACGTCAACAACAGTCGTCCATGAGTCGCGACATTCGGTGTAATTTGCGCCGAGCCTTTGTTGAGAAAATGGGCTAGGCTCAACTCTGGAGATGTTCCGTATGACGTCGATCATGAGTTTCTCCGGATGACGTGACTAGAGCGGATGTGGCATGGTGGAAGTCGCGACATCTAAACAACATCATGTCCAAGAAGCCATGATTCAAGAGTATAGAAGAATGCATTTCCCAGTTGACGCCCAAGCTGTCTACTATCAACGCCGTCGTAACCCATAAAGCTAAGTCGTAACATCATAATGCCAACCATACAAGGCACGCTTCACGTCTACTTCCTCTCGCCCTTCCTTCCGGTCTTTTTCAACCTTGCAGCAAGATCTATCATACCGTCTGCCCAGACAGACATTTCCCTTTCTTCCTTGATCTCGTTACCGCAGAAGTCGCGCAAGAAAGCGCCCATCTTGTCCTCGCCGTATTTCTCACCGTAGACAACCTCCGCTCTCATATTGACGTTGGTCTCGATGCCCTCCTTGCCTAGACTAACGCCGACTTCGAATGTAGCCTTGACCTTTGTTTGAAGGGTTGGCAACAGCATGTTCGCGGAGATTGCCATGCGCTCGTCCGAGAGGATGAACTCTTCGGTGATGTAGCTATGCTCAAGCCAGCGAACACCCTCTGCGACTGCAACAGCGGTGGCCCATCCATTCTTGACAAGGGAAAGAAGCGAGGAAATTCGGGTCTGCGCCTGCGGGATACCATGAAGATGTGCGCGGATGAGCTGGAGGAAGAAGCGCTTGCTTGTTGTCAACGCACGAGGATGTGGTGTTGCTGAATCACCGATGTAGGCAAGCGAGATGGATCCGTTGGGTGTGTTGGAGCCGGTGGCGAAGGCAGAAGGTACGAAGTAAAGTTCGAGGTCATTCATGTGTGTCATGGTGATGCTGTTCGAGGAAGCGGACGTTATGCTCCATCCGTGGGCTTGTTCAAGGGCAGTGAGTTTGGCTAGTGTGCTGTTAGTGGGGTTGTTGTGCAAAGAATGAGCATTACATACCTCTCAGACTGCTGACCTCGCTTGTAGACCAGCCGCGGCACTCTTCTCGTACACGTTCCGCTGCTTTGATCTCTTGGATGCATTCGACTTTGCGGTCCTTAGCTGCCTCGATGCTTGTTTCCTTGTCGGCAAGCTCTTGTTGCAGCTGGGCAAGAAGCAGCTTCTTCTCTTCCAACTCGGCATCAGTAGCAGTAAGCTTCTCTCTCGTCTGCTCAAGCTCTTCCCGGTCACAGCTGTTGAGTTCATCGTGGCGCTGCTGTAGCTGCTTACACTCAGTGGACAGACGATCCTTCTTCTCGACCAGAGGAGGCAACGTTTCGTCAAGAAGGCGCTCCTGTTTGATGAGTGTGGATTCGTCGTGGTTGAAACCGTCCATGGTGTGGAGGAGACCAGCTTTGAGATCGTGCAGCAGCGTGCTTCGCCATGTATACCACTCTCCACGAGCCTCGAGGCGCGCGTTGGTCTTGAGGTTCTTGAACTGGTTGTCCATGACAGCGCGCTGGTCCGGGGGTGCAGTGAGGTACTCGCTAAAGAGCAGTGGGTTCTCTTCTAGTACGTTGGCCTCCATAGTACGGACAAAATGGCGACCGTCTGAGATATACTTCTTCATCTCGTGGCATGCATGCTGGTACAGCTCGTACTCAGGCAAGGTGCACGCTCCAGCCACAACGTAGCGATCTAGGGATTCCTCCTTTTCCTCTACTTCCACATCGTGGAAAGCGGAAGGAGCAGCAGTATGGCGTCGCTTGGTCGTACTAAGATCCATGAAGCGAATCTTGGTCATGTCGAGGAAGTCTTGTAACGAGATCCGCTCAACATCCGACATATCTTCTGCCACACCACCCTCGTCGTTGTTCTCCTCCTCTGGCTCTTCACCAAAAGCGACGCGCTTCATTGGGCTCATGCTTTGCCTGAGGTTCCCCTTCTTGGGTGTCGGTGTCGGCTGCTTCGGCGTTGGCTGCTTTTGAGGAGTCTGTGACTTCTTCGGCGTCATCCCTTTCTTCACTGGGGACATTAATGTCTGTTTTCGCGGGGTAGATAACAGCTTGATGCTATTGCTCAGAAGTGCCGTGCTCTTGAGAGTAGGCTCCTGACGTGGTGCATTCAGAGGACTGAATTGCACTGCAGACAAGGACGAACGACGTCGGTCAAGTATTGTAGCTGCAATTGGGTCCTCAGGAATCATCATGGGTGTCCTCTGCGGCGTAGGGTTTGAAGGAGTCGCAACAGCTTCCTTCTCTTTGGTTGCACTCAGCGGAGTCCGGCGCACAAACGGCGAAGGCTCGACCTCCTCAATATCCTTCTGCCTGACGATCTCTGGTGTACCAGGGTCAAGGGTGGGATAGGCCACATCTCCTGTCGTACTGGGAGTGATGTCTTGCAGGACCTGAGGCGCTGATTCGGCCTCGGCCCTCAGAATGGAGCTCCTTCTTCGTCCAGGCGACTTCTTCGGAGATTTCCGTGGTGTCGGTGTTTTGGTTGCTGAAGCAGGAGTGTCGTCTACGGGTGTTTGTGGTGTCGTTGTTGAGCTGCCGGCACGCTTAATACCAGGTCCAACGATCTTTGTGAACTCCATGGAAAGATCTTCATCTTCGACCTCATCCTCCTGATCTTCCTGTGCTTGTTGCTTGCCATTCTTAATGCTGCCCACAGCCAGTGTGAAGTCCATCGTCGCGTCATCAACGACGCTTCCAACACTAGCACGTCTAGCTGGCTCCGGCTGTGGCGCTTTCTTAATCGCTCCAATTGCCATTGTGAGGTCCATGGTCGCGTCTTCTTCGCCGTGCTCTTCGGATTGTCGACGCTGTCGCAAACTGGTACGCCGGCTTGCAGTGCGCTTTGCAGGGCTGCCTTGGTTTTCATCGAGCAATGAGACCCTCCTCTTAAGACTCTTCCTCCTGTTTGCTGGTTTGTAAGATGCGGCCATCGCCTGTATGCTTCCAAGTGGCATAGTGAGGTCCATGGTCATGTCATCGTCGTCGACGTCCGAGCTCGCTGCGTCTGAGCGTTGTTGCTGCTGCTCCGGCTGCTTTTGTTGTGGTGGTGGGGGTACGATGCGGCCTACTGCGCGCGTGATGTCCATACTCATGTCGTCGTCCTCGCCGGCTACGGTGCGTGCTGGGGAGAAAAGCGGGCTTGCATTCTCCTTGTCATATTGTGCAACGAAGCTCTTCTTTGCCCAGGGCTTGAAAGATGCGGTAACTTCGTCTTGGGCGATCTCCATGCTCATATCTCCGTCATCGTCGTCGAAATCCAGCTTCTGAGTGCCTGCCAAGTTTGCAGCCTCGCGCAGCGCAGCATCCAGTCGAGCGCTGCTCTGCGATGAGTCCTCAACATCGGGTGAAGCTCCTAGACTTTCTGTGGCATCTTCGATATCCATATCCTCAGAGTCGCTGCTCCCGTCATCGTTTCCAACAGGCGAAGCATTGTCTCCGCTGAGCGGGCTTGAGGAGTAAACATCGTCGGGGTTGTTGAAGTTCATCGGCGGTATGCCCGAACTCCGGCGATTCTTCTTTTGGTGCTGCGCGCGCTGGCTCTCGGGTGACGAACTGGGCTCTGGTTGAGGCTCTTCAGCTTGTTCTGGTGGTGTAGACGGCGGTTCGGCGGGGTCTGATGGAGGGGCAGGCGACGCCGGTGTGGATGCTTGGGAGACGTTCGAGGCTCTGCGTGTGGCCTCCGACGAGGCTGAGGAGGTGGTCGCATCGCGCATGTACTCGACTACATCCCATGTGTGTAGAGTGGCTTCCGGGGCGAAAGACACGCGTCGCCTTGCTAAACATTTGTTAGTGAAGCCTCCAGATTGTTTCCACGCTTAAAACACGTACCCAACGACTTGCGACGCGCTTCGCGCCGCTTCTTCTCATCTTCATCGTTTGAGGCTAGAATGGACTTGACGGCGGGGATAAACGCAGACTATCTGGTCAGCATTCACTCGTACAATCGCGTGTACGAATCATACCTTTCTGCGGTTTCCGAAACTCTCCTTGAGAGGAGGCGCTTCCAATTCCCCCAGACCTCCAGGGCCGATACTCTTACTACGCGTCTTTTTCTTTGGTGATAATGCTGCTTTCTTCAGAGGCTGCGTTGAGGCCTTGAACGAGCCATTCGCGATTAGGCCGTCGGCGATATTCTCTTTGCCTGCTTGCGCCATGTTGGAGTCGCGATTTGGTGTGTGGTGGTGGTGTTCGGGATGACAGCACTCATGTAAACATGGAAGGCGCCAACCCAAACAATGGGGTAGGAGGGCCCGTGCGCATTCGCCTGGTCTTGTGACAGCGCTCCCCGCGTCTTGCATGACATTGAAAGCTGCACGTAGGCGGCCGTTTTTAGTCTATTGTCTATTGCGAGTCTACCTAAACGCCTCGCTTCTATGTAGAAATCAACGCTCTCGAGGCCTCTGAATATGTCCGCCTTCAACATTAGAACGGCACATCCATATCCTCAACACTTTCCTCTTCCTTCTTTCCACCACCCTGCTGTTCGTGCAAAACTTCCTTGATAAACCCAATCAACGCATTGACACTAGCTTTCTGCGTGCTTGGTAGGAAGTGACCCCCGGGATGATACACAACGTACTTCTCCTCGCTATGTTCGCAAGCCTGGACCAATGCCAGACTGCGCGCCTCCTCAACCACGACATCCTGCGTACCCAGAAAATGTAGCATCGGTGTCTTGATCTTAGGCTCATAGAAAGCGTGATAAGGGTTCTTCCCACGCGCTGCGAAGCCGCTATAGCTAACCGCGAACTTCAGCGGCGGATGTATTGTACCCTCCATGTACCCGGTGTCCTCTTCGAAAGACTCTGGGAACCTCATACCGCCCTCAGGATACAGCTTCTCAAACGCAGCACGACGGCCTGGCTCGAGCAAACTCGCGACCATAGCTGCCGCTGCTCCACCTTGTGAGAATCCCACGACACCATCGAAAGGACCTTGTTCTTTCAACACGCTTGCGATGCGCTCCAACCCTTGCTCCATGCCTTCGTATGTATACGGTTCGCCTGTGCCCTTCCTCCTCCACCAAGCCCATGCGTCGATTTCCTGCTCCTCTCCATCCTTTGCATCTTTGCCCTCGCCATCTTTACTTGTGTTTCCTGCCAGGAACGATTCGTCGGCGGGTGTTAAACGTATCGGCGCAGTAGGGTATACGAGTTCGATGCCTTTGGGGAAGGCTTTTTGTAATGTCTTGCGCAGTGCGCCGGTCTTGGCTTGGAATAGTGATCCGGATTGCGTGTATCCGTGAAGCATCAATAGCTTTATCGGGCGATCTGGGGGCGGGGCGGCGGCCATGGTGCGCCAATGGGAGCGGACGCGGAAGTTGGCGAGCGTGTAAAGACGTGGGTCTGAGAGGGCGAGGAAGTGTTTGAAGCGCATGTACAGAATGCGCGTGGAGGCTAGGGCGCGGAATTGATAAGATAGCTTGTAGAAGGCGCGATGCTTACGAAGTTTTGGGTGTTGCCTCGGAATGATACCGATTCTCGGGATGCCGATTGCGTCATGGGCTAGCGGGAGAACACCTGCGCAACTACTCACGGCGCGAAGACACTTTGCGAGCTACTCAGGATAGATGCAGACATAAGTAGTCAGATGTATGTATACAATAGATTGACGATGATCGCAACTGCATGAGAGCAGAAAGCTCGATGGTCGCAAGGGCAGTGAGGAACAACAAGCCCTTTTATCTAGAGAAGTCGCACCTTTGCATACACTTCTTGCGTCTAGCTTGACATTCACACATGCACGCTCAATCAAAATGACTTGGAGAGCGCGACGATCTGGACACGCTGTCGACCCCACTGTCTTCCCCCGCATTCATGTACTTCCGATACGGATTTGTGGATTTCGAAGTCCGTGAAGCCGCAGAAGACGGCGCTGCTGACCTTCTTGATGCTTTGGATCGAGGAACAAGGAACTTGCTGACATCGCCAATATCAGACTGATCAGCATCGGAGCCTGCCGAACTGGGGCTCTTTTTGCCTCGCGTCTCTGCATCTGTGTCGTCGCAGACAGTGGAGTTCTCGCCCGAGTACACGGACGGTGCAGAGTGCGCTGATGACGCATACGTGGCTGGATAGGCACTCAAAGGTACTTCGGGATCCTTGTCGAAATGCCATTGTAGCTGACGGTGGAGGCGCCGGTAGTTGTTTTCTCGCATGAGGAATGATCGTTCAACAAGTGTCTCGATGTCGTTCTACTACGCATTAGTTTCGCGTTCACAGTGGCAAGCTGCATAGGTTCTTACATATGTCAATCTACCGTCGAGAATATATAAACCCATATCGTTGCTCTGAAATTGGAAGCCAAGCTCGACCAGCGCATACTCTTCCACAAGGGCTTTCTGAATAGTGATCGATTCTTTGCCTGACGCTGTCTCAGATGGGCAAAACTGCGGTTCGTAGTCAGGGTCAAAGAAGTAGGTATGTATCGGTTGACTCCCTAAATAGTGAGTCTGACCTTTGCCTAGACAGTGTTAGTACATGGTTATCAAACTTTGGTGACGCATCATTACCTGATATACGAGTGTAGGGTGTTCTCCATCCGGCTTGCCTCATGGTCAGCAGAAGCTCGCTTCCTAGATTAAGCGCTGAGGACTCCCAAAAGATGGTACTCCTAACAACCTGGTCATCCGTGTTGTCGTAATCATATTGTATGAGTCGACTGGTTTGAAATGGTTCGTCTTCAGCGTTTTCAAAGACGGATTCAATTCCAAACCCAGCCAGCGACTTTTGCAGCCTGTCCATCCTTTGAGAGCGTCTGTCGGCTTTGACAGGGAAGACGATCATCTGCTGAGACGGTGAGTTACTTTCCAACGTGGCTGTACTTCCTAATGAAGTACGCGAAGCATGCATTGAGCCCATGGAGCTGCGAAAGCTGTCACGACGAGAAGTTCTTTGGGGACGATCGCGATAGCTCGGCCTCATGTCCAGGCGCGCGAAACTTTCCAAGAATGGGGTGGAAGAAGATGCTGTAAGCGGAGGTCGTCTGCTTGTCGCATATTCTGTTACATCCACGCTGCGATTGCCTTCGGCTATGCGAGTCCGTCTTATGGTCTGATCGTTTTCTTGCTCTGAGCTCAATTGCCGCTCTTGTATCCCATGAAGTAGCTCTTCGTAGCGCTGCAATTGCGACCTGTGCACTTCGTCGGTTCGTTGTCTTTCCGCTATGACCATGGCGTCGGCTTTTCTCCGTGCCTCCTTCTCGGCTTCCAGCCTCTCAACATTGAGAGCTGCTTGAGCTACTTCCTTAGCCGACTGTGCCGCTGCAATCTCTTTCGCTGCCAGATCCCTCACTTGTTGAGCATGTTTTGCGGCTTTTGCTTCCATAGTCTTCCTTTCCTCCGCCCACATGATCTCCATGCGCTTTTGCTCTGCCCTTTGAGCTGCTACGAGACTTTCGAGTTGCTTCATTTTCTCCTCTTCCTTTTCATGGGCATCCTGCATCTGCTTCATATACACCTCAGCTGTTGCATTGGCACGTTCCCGTTCGTTTTGGACTTCTTGTTCCTTGAATATCTTCGCCAGTTTCGAGAACGGTGAGTCCTCGTACTCAATGCGGGGTTCTTGATTGCGCTTCTGAAGTAGTGTCTCTACCCGAGCGAGAACAGCAGTTTCTCTGGCCTCATCCTCGGCCGTTCTTGTCTGCATCTCCACGGGTGGAGCAGGCGGCGGGGGTGGAGGAAGAGGCATCGGTGGAGCTTGAGCTTGGGCAGGAGACGGCGGAGGGGATTCAACGGCTGGCTGATGACTTGGAGGGTATTGTGGGTATGGATCGGATGTATATGCTTGTCTCGGCGGCTCAGAAGGCGGGAGCACGTGTGGTGGTTCCTGCCATGGCGGACTGTATCCATAATTGACAGGGGGCGGAATGTGACCATGTCTGAAGGGATTTGAATACCCTGATTTGGACTTGTTCCTAGGATCGCGAATGTTGACCCTGTCACGGTAGGGTCTGTCGAAAACTCCATCATCATCATCCTCATCATCCTCATCATCACCACTATGAATCGTGTAGACTTTGGAAGGACGCTGTCTCGTTTCAGCCTCTGCAGGTAGTGGCTTCACACCGTGTTTCCTTTGCTTAGATACATGTTGACGTGGATGGCCGGTTGACGTTTTTCCAAATGTCACATGTACTTCGCGAGCCTTACGTCTGGGTGACGGGGGGTCGCCGTAGGTTGGTGATGGTTCGTATGTATGAGCCCGTGGATCAGTACGGTTAGAGTTCTTTGCACTCCTTATGCGGGCTTTTTGGGTGTTACTGCGAAAGTTGTACGGCGGTGCATTAGTATCGACCATACTGTCTTCTTCGGCACTCTGGAATGCCTCGTCGTCGGACCCGACAGGCTCATTCTGCTCTTCCCATTCGTCAAAAGATAGGTTGTCGTCCTTCTTTGCTTCCTCTACCATCCTGAGAATTTCCTCCCTCCAGGCATCGTCCTCCACAACGCCCTCGACACCGTGTTGACGAGTTGAGCTGAGACTAATTTGATTCGGCGAGAGCGTGGTCCATGAGGAGAGTAGTCTGTCTACAACCAGATCAGGTTCCGTTTGCCTACTCCACAAGATCATGGCCTTCTCATCTGGACTTGAAGATCGTCTCTCGGGTACTGCGACGGGCTCTGGAGATGATGCATGACTGTTTCTAGTGGCCGTTTCGGCGCTTTCATCAACGACGGATGCTTGGTGGAGTTGACGTGTTTGTGGGTATGGTGGCGGTGGACTTGTGTCGCCAGAGCTGAAAACCAGTTGATAGAGCCAGGGCGCAGTGTCAGAGGAGCCACTCTTCCATAGGGCTAGTTCAGCCGAGGAGGAAGGTTGCGTGGCCGCCTCGAGCTTTTCGTCTTCCTGTTGTGCACTCTCTACAACGTGCCTGTTCGCCTGGACAGCGCTTTCCACAATCCGGCGAAACCGATTGAATCTAGGTCTACCATGGGTTTGACCGTTCGAGTTGAATTCTGGAGTTCTGGTGATGTAAGCGATCACGAGAATCAGGACACAAAATTGATCATGCTTACGGCCGACTAGCCTCTTCTCTGGCGAGGCGAATAACGTTCAACTCCAGAATCAATGCAGTCTTGATTCCCTCGACCTTCTTCAAAAGACCTTTGGCTTTGGGCTTTTTCAGCGGCCACTTGAGCCCGACCAGGCTTCGTCTCTTATCAATTAGTAGCCGAATCTCCGCAGCGACCCGTTCGTATCGTGATATGATTGAGCGAGTATTGGTAAAAAATGCAGGCTTGCACAAGTCTTGATGAGCATCAAGAATCTCCCCAAGGGTCTGCAGACTTCCCGCAAGTAGAGATATCTCATCCGCTATTTCTGTTGAGTATGATGTACGCTCAATACAGGAATTCAGGGCCTACCGATCTCCGCTATTTCTGTGGGCGCATTCTTGATTGTCTGAACTACGCTGAAGAGAGCAAGCGAGAGTTGGGCTGCGCTTGCACCGATGGTGATCGCCGACGCGATGATGCTAATAGGATCCATTTGAACGTAGACGATGCGAACGACAGTTCAGCGGACGCGGGGAACGATGCGCTGGCAATAGAAACTAGAGAACGTAGCCTTGTGGCTTACACAGCCTCTAACATGCTCGTCTCCAGGTATTACATAGCCTCGCCGCTTTGCTGCAGGCTGACCATCGTCCATTGGTTGTCAGGCCCATGCAGGTTACACGGAATTGTGTTGACAGTTTCGAGCTGAACGTGTGGGGGCCATGCTGCATCCACAAGCCGGGGGCAGCAATGCGGCTAGGACAAGCGATGTCATACGGGTCTGAATTGAACAGTTGGACGTGCATGGCGAAAAGGTGTGAAGCTCCGATCCAATTCCAGAATTACTTGAGAGTTGACTTGGTTCTAGGACTCTATGCTGAACATTGCCTGCATGTTTCCGGTGTAATCGTATCATGGAGCATCCGAGGCATCGCGTATTGTAGCTGTTGTGCTATTCGGCATCGCCTCCAGCTCGAAGGAGCTCCATGCTAGTCCGCTGATGCCTAGTCGGATGATTGCAAAAAAGCGACTCAAATCTTTGTTCCGTGTTGCGATATCCGGTGAGGAGCGCATATTAGTGCTGACTGGGTATTGTCGCTTATCAAGATTTCGTGAGGCTGAGAAGGGGACGGGATAAGTGTGGAGTTGAAATGCGGGATGTCTGAGTGGCTAGCGCGCCTCGGCTCTTGGCAGGTGCAATCCAAAAGTTATCGCTCTCATGACGACTGCCCGCTGGAGCTCAACCCCATGCCGCCATGAGCTTTCGACCAATACTGCCGCGGCCAATTGCAGCGCGGGATGCGAACACACTATGTCTACGGTGTTGGCGCAGACTCGCAAAAGCGCCGCTGCAGTCCCGGAGACCATTTTCTTTCAATCCGTCATATAGAGGCGACGCCATAGTAGCCGGACGAGGCGGTACTGCTTTCGGAAAGGACTACTTCCGCGCGAACCCACTACTGAAGGACACATTCTGGAGGTCAGGGCCAGAGTTACAGAGCTCGATTCTGTCTGTCAAATCGGCGAACGCAGGCGGGCAGCAAGCGGCGAAGGACGATGGCACAACTGGCACAGAAGAAGTGTTACCACATAGGCGGCGGAAGAAAGCAAAAGAGCAGGCAGTAGAGAACCCAGAGACGGCATACCCAATACCACACGATGCGTCGTCCAAGCTGGCACACATATCCTCGAGCCTCCCGCAGCAGTCGCTCAAGCGCATGATGACTACATACCTCTCGCTATCGAAACCGCGCCTCTCCTTCCTCGTCGTCCTCAGTGCAACGGCCGCATACTCGCTATACCCCGTGCCAGGTCTGCTTGCCCCCGCAGCAACAGCCACTCCGTCCCTCTCGACCCTCACACTCTTCTTCCTCACATCCGGCACTGCGCTGTGCTCGGCATCCGCAAACGCCTTCAATATGATCATGGAGCCCGCACACGATGCTAAGATGAGCCGTACGCGCAATCGGCCTCTCGTCCGGAAGCTTATCAGCACACGAGGCGCCATCATCTTCGCCGTCACTTGCGGGGTGCTTGGTACCGGCGCCCTCTACTACGGCGTCAACCCCACGACAGCGTTCCTTGGCGCCGCCAACATCGCCCTTTATGCGGCCGTGTACACACCCATGAAGCGCATGCACATACTGAACACCTGGGTTGGCGCGATCGTGGGAGGCATTCCGCCGCTCATGGGCTGGACGGCTGCAGCGAGTCAGTACGCCCATGACGGAACTTGGGAAGAACTGCTGTTTGGTGAGGGCTCGGCTGGAGGGTGGCTGTGCGCTGCCTTGTTGTACGCCTGGCAGTTCCCCCACTTCAACGCGTTGAGCTGGGCCATCCGCGACGAGTACAAGAACGCGGGCTACCGCATGACAGCCTGGGTGAACCCTGGAATGAATGGGCGTGTCGCACTGCGATACTCTATTCTGATGTTTCCTGTCTGCATCGGTCTGTCATACTGCGGCGTAACCGACTGGAGCTACGTAGCCACGAGTAGCGTCGTCAACGGCTGGATGGCACTCAAAGCCTGGCAGTTCTGGAAGGCTGAGGGACAGAAAGGAACTGCTAGAGGTCTGTTCTGGGCTAGCATCTGGCACCTTCCTATTGTTATGGTACTCGCCATGGCCCAGAAGAAGGGACTTGGAGAACGTATTTACCGCAGCATTTTCGGCTATGCCGACATTGACGAAGAGGATTTGTACTACGAAGCCGGCGAGTTTGAAGCAGAGGAGCAGAAACAATTGGCCCTCGTCGAGAGCAGACGAAACGCCTGAGATTGGCGTACCTGGGAGACCCACATTGCATGCTCGCTGTCAGGCAAGCACATTCACCGTTCCCGCTCACCCGTTGACGATCGCTCGATCAACAGGTACATGTTTCCATACCCCACTGTATCATATGTCATTATCACGCATCTAGAAGGTCGCGATCGGATTTAACGAAAACAAGCTTCATGTCCATAGTGTTTCGCATCTTCGTCCCGGGTTTTCTTCAAGTCCTTCCATGCCGCCACGATACTGCAGTCCACACGCTCAATATATTCTAGCAGCCACTGCGCATCGCTTCGAGTAGTCGCCTCCATCCAACGTACGCTTGTGGTGCAACTAGAGACGCCATTCAATCTACCAGGATGGCAAAGCCGCCTGTCGCAATATCGGAACCGGGTCATGTGTTTCGACTACCGGACAGGGGGACGCTGCCTGCCGACCAATGACTACATGCTAGCGCCACTAACCTCATCTAAACATCCATATGTTTCCCATGAATTAATTGTACTGGGTCTCGCGTTTCAACACCTCGGTTCGGCAACGCCCCATCGCCTACCATCTCTTTTACCCGCCGGAACATTATCGACCTACTCGTGCGCGAGGCGGCGAAAAAATGAAGTACCACACGCCTGAGTCTGGGGCGCATAGTACTGCAATATAGAAGAACCTGGATGTGTGACGGCTCCACTACCAAGCCAGCAGGATAGTTGTATATATAGAGGGGGGTTTGTTACTTCGTATAGGCATCAAGATACCCATCATCACATCTTCTTCACAGTAACCAACCATGAAGTGCTCCGTCCTCACCACCCTCCTCGCTGTCGCCAGCACGGCCAGCGCCCACTACACCTTCCCCGAACTCGTCGTCAAGGGCCAAAAGACCGGTCTGTGGCAATACGTCCGCAAGACCGCCAACTACCAGTCCAACGGTACGCCTCCCCATTCATACCCATGACTTCCCTTCCAAACACCCATCTAACACCCGTCTAGGTCCCACAACAGACGTAACCGCCGACGCCATCCGCTGCTACGAACTCGCCCCCGGTACAGGCTCAAAGACCTACACCGTCAACGCCGGCGACTCCGTCGGCTTCACAGCCGCATCCAGCATCTCGCACCCGGGTCCCCTTCAATTCTACCTCGCCAAGGTCCCCGAGGGCAAGACAGCTGCGACCTGGGATGGAAGCGGCGATGTGTGGTTCAAGATCTTCAGCCAGGGCGCTACCTTTTCTGGTGGGCAGATGAACTGGCCGAGCAACGGTATGTTTCCTCCCATCGAGTCTCTCCTCCTTCAACGAACATTCCACTAACATGATCATTTCGTAGGCAAGCAAGAAGTCGACGTCACACTTCCCAAATCCCTTCCTTCGGGCGAATACCTCATGCGCGTTGAGCACATTGCTGTGCACTCTGCGTCCACAATCGGTGGTGCGCAGTTCTACATCTCGTGTGCGCAGTTGAAGGTTGAGAATGGTGGCAGCGGTACTCCAGGACCCAAGGTCGCTTTCCCGGGTGCGTACAAGGCGGATGACAAGGGCATTCAGCTCAACATCTACTACCCGGTTCCTACTAGCTACACACCTCCTGGCCCCGCTGTGTGGAGTGGTTAGATGGACCAACGGTGAGGGAGAAATGGGGAGAAATTGGTTTCGTGTATATACTTCAGAATGAAACTTTCATGTCACATACTCTCAGCTTTGTTGAGGATCTTGAAGTCGCATGTAAGCGTTGTGAAATTGTTCTTGTTATATATTCTTGTACATTCTTTGGCCTCGTAAACCATCTCAATACTGGGCTTCAGTCCTATTTCGCGCTAGAGCCAGCGTGTGAGCTTCCGTGCTTCCTCCGACTCGAGCTCTTCTTCTCCTTCTCCTTCTTATCCTTCTTTTCTTTCTCAGCCTTCTCGGGCTTCTCTGGCTTCGGGTCCTTTTCAGGCACCTCGGGTGCTACTTCCTGTTGCTCCCGGACCTCCTCGGGCTTACTACCAACCCTTCTTACGGCCCTGACAACGTCGTCTGCTCGCTCGATGGCGACTTCGTGGCCTACACCGTCGAGTACCTTGACCCTGACATTTTCCTCACCCAGTACTGCTCTCGCATCCTCGGTGACTTCGTCGGCGATGATAACGGGGTCCGTTTCGCCGAGGATGAGCCAGACTTCCTTTAGTGGGCCGGCGCGGTTCTCGATGTTTTCGCGGATGACGGCCCATCGCTCTTGTTGATTCTGGATGGGCGCATGACGGATGGTCGATATGAAAGCTGGCACGAACCCCTTGTGGTTTTGTATCTGCCAATCCACGACGGAAGAGACGGTAGAGTGCGGGTTGCCGGGCAAGAGCATTTGGTTGCTGCTCAGATATGTCTTGTCTCCTTCGCTCGCAGTCGTAGTAGTCTCGGCATTCTCTACTGCTTCAGGGTCGCTCTCAACTACTTTGCGTCCTGTCCATAGTTTACTTGCGACAAACTTGCGTACCATCCATTCCGGCATCCAGGAGCTGTTGTAGAGCATTTTGCTGGAAATGGAAATGCGGTTTTTGCGGATGAGCCCACTAGGAGCGACAAGGACGAGCCCGCGGACCAGCGAGGGGAAGTACGATGTGAAGTCTGCAGCGATGGCGCCTCCCAGAGAGTAGCCGACTATGGTGAAATGTGACCAGTGGATGGGCGAAGATTGCAGAGCGAGCAAGATCTGGCTGGTGAAGAGGCTGGAGTCATAGTTGGTTGTG